TGTGTGTGTGTGTGTGTGTGTGTGTGTGTGTGTCTCACCTTCTGCCACAGCGCGTCCCTGACAGCCAGGCTGGAGCAGGCAGCCACGAACCAGCAGTTTCCCAGCTGACCTTGGTGCAGGTCGTGGGCGCTGATGCCGTCCACGAACAGATGAGGGTCGCTGCATAACTCCTAAGAGGAAAAGATGTTTAAAATCAGTGGAAGGAACAGAGGCATCTGTAAACATCTGTAAACATCTGTAAACCAGGAAATAACTCTCCAATAACAAAGGAATGATTAACTATCAATTATTGCTCAGGTCCAGCTGATGAGTTGATATCATTCGTTTTAGATTTGTGCTGTGAAGTGAACTTCTCTTGTAATGTCTGTGGTCGACCTCCAGCTGCTGCACTAGAGCCGACATGCGGTCGGAGGCTGCGCTCACACTGGGCCTCCGCCATGCGTGGATGATGAATGTGAGGGCGTAGCCAGATTCTCAATCAGCTATTAGAAGGTAAACACTGGGTGAAGAAACTCTCCACTTAAGAAGAACACTCCTCTGAAAGCTCAAAGTGAAACAAACCACAGAGCGAACAGGACGGCAGCCAAATGATAGAGCTGAGATAAACCAGGGACACACCCAGAGACAGTCTGAGACGACTCAGTACAAATATAACATATATAACACATAAAGCTGTTTGTCATCTATAGATTGTTACATGGACAGAACCTGTATTTCCTTTGTGCTGAGATAAACTACAGCTTCATATCACGTGTCATGAATCTTCTGATCTACACGTTGCTCCTTCCTTAAGTTTCGGTGACGTTGAACACGATGATTCAACCGATTGTACGTGAATATTTCAGTATTATTAGTGAATATTAACAAGTTAAGCTTTATTCATAATGTTCTTCACATTAACAGCAAGTAAGAAAAGTATAAAAACAGAAAGTACAACAGAAGTCGGAGTCGGAGCGATGTGGAGGTTTGGAGGCTGATGCCGACACAGAACTTGAATTAAGGAAATAAACACATTTTTAGATAAAATGTAAACACACATTTAAAAAAAAGTTTTGAATCATTTATTCTTCAAAATAAAAGTTTTCATGTTAGCCAACATAAATGCTGATACTGTTGATATATTTCCATTAAAGGCTCATATCGACTAATAATATCATCAAAGCTTTAAATCAGTCAGACTCTCTAAAACTGTTTTAGGATACGAAGGAGCAGGATTGATAGTTTGGAGAAGTTTCAGTTGAAGTGGAGGGAAACAGAAATAATAAAACTGCTCCAGATTTAGAGACACAGACTCCGTCTCTTCATCTTAGATCCAGTTCTCAGGACGTCTGGTAGCAGATCTGAGAGGACGTCGTGTTTCGGAAAATTAGAAGCCATCATTTCACGTACATGTATTTATACGCACAGTGTACACGCACACTGCTCGTCTGTTCAACCACAACACACATGACAGGTCCAGCCTGGGTGGTTCTCCTGCAGCAGCTCCAACAACACAACCGCACACGCACAGACATACAAAAGAGAAATAAGTTTTTTAATGACAAAAGGTCAAAAGCCACTTCATGCCTGAATTTGAGAATAAAGTTAAGAACTATCGTGAAATCACAAAGTGCCACGTTCACGTCGTCTTTGTATTTGCACCGTGACGGTTTATGACTTTTATCTGTTTGCACATCGGCTCAGTGGAACCTGTCAGGGACTTTGTACGACGGAGCCGGACGGAAAAAGTTTGTTTAATGTCCACTGGCGTGAACACGAACTGTCGGTGTGGTCAGGGTGTAGACGTTAGGGGTGGAAGTGAGTGTGAAAGCAAGTTTCCAGTCGTCTCTCAGAACTCAGTATTTGAACAGTATCGAAACACTGTAATGTGCTTTTACTGTCAATCATTGATCTGAGCAGCTAAATAATTAAACAGGAAACTGAAAACCCTCCGATCGATGATGGTATTGATTTGTTCTGTGAGTGGAGGTGAAGAGGGAGTGACTCCATGTTTTACAACTGTGTGTTAACACGTCCGTGGATCACTGACTCACTGTGAGTCACGACTAATGCAGACTGGGGTCACTTCAGCCTCAGGAGACAAAGACACGCGAGGGACATGTTGTGTTTCTATCGTCACCTTCTCAGAGTCATTGCATCAGTTTCACCGTGTTTTAACTTTATAGCTCTGATCTCCAGGATCTGGCCGAAGTAGCTTGTGAAAATAAAGGTGCGTCAGAACAGAAGCTGTTATTTCAATAAGTCAAATAGTTAATGAACGTGAAAGTAAATTTGTTTTTGGATCAGACGTGTAGATGATCATTAACGTTGGTGGGAGCTGATTAGACTTCAGACCGAATGTGACAGAAAGATAAGTCGACGGAGGAGGTGGGGAAACGTGACGCTCTAATTATTTTGTTGACCTGCAGTTAATGATGTCAGAGTCATAGTGCAACTCACCTAATACACAAAACACAGCGATTAGTGGTGAAACAGTAACATCGAGCCTGAGTCACTGAGAGAGGTCGGAATACAGAGTGTGTGTGTGTGTGTGTGTGTGTGTGTGTGTGTGTGTGTGTGTGTGTGTGTGTGTGTGTGTGTGTGTAAAGTCATTCAGTGATTATATTAAGAGCATCATATTTCTCCATCATCAACCGCTGCACTGAATAAAAACACTGTGACAGTTTAAACCACCATGTTTCAAACAAACAGCATCAACTGAAAGAAACTCAAATGATTCATGACACGAATCAACCTGTCACGTCCGCACACACACTTCAGGTGTTTACACACACACACACACACACTTCAGGAGTTTACACACACACTTCAGGTGTTTTTTCTTCTTGATGAAATGTTTGATGCTGATCTGGTTCCATGAGAAAAGTATGGAACTGAAACTTGTCATATTTCCAAACGGTTCTCATGTTTTAAATTCTTCTCAAGCTCCGTATTTATCTGAACGGTCTGCGATTCAAAACAAGTCGTTGCTGAGATGTCGTGACGTGTATATATATATATACGTTATATGTATATATATACGTTGAACAGCTGTTAGAGTTCAGTCTGACACAGGCAACATGCTAACGCAGCACATGAGCGCCACTGAATCCTGTCTCCAAATATTTGCCCTACTTTTGTAAATACGACAGAGACCAGGCCCTCAGCACAGAGAGAGAAGATTTAAAACACGGTGCAGGAGCAGCGTGAGCGCAGTTACACAACATCTTGTTTCAATTACAACTTAAGTTTAGACGCATGCGTTTGAAGCGATTTCAGTCCTGTCGTCCTCGTTGTCCTGGTTCAACCACAGACGTGAGAATCACTTCAGTATGAAACAATAGAAGCTGAGAGGGACACACGTGTATTCTGTCTTTTAAATATTAGCTCAAATATTTCTTTAAAGAGCAAACACATGCGCACAATTGACTTCTGGGAGATAAATTCCACAGATTCTTCTCTATCCAGTCCTTGTGCCCCCCCTCCCTGTGGACACATGCTCCCTTTGTCTCCGCTTCAACCACACACTGCTTCCTGTCTCCTCCTCCGTCTCCTCTTTAAATCAGCTGATCTGAAGCTGTGCCTCCATCTCTGATGTGAAAATCACCAACTTCACTGGACGAGTTCTCACTTTCTCGGCTTCACACCGTTCCTACTTTGCAGATTAGTCGAATAAACACAGAGTTTGTCACAAAATACCTAAACCTCCAGGTAAGTGTTTAAAATGTGGAGAATGTAAAGAAATGTTGTGCTCCCTGTTTTTTGAGCCGTTTCTCTGCTCTCACCTTCGGCCTCTTCCAGGTGACTCGGCCGATGCTGTTGCTCTGGTAGAACAGAGACTGGTCGGACGTAGGAAACAGAGGGTCTTCAAACAGACGTCCATTCTGCTGGCACTGCCTCCTCAGAGCAGAGAAAGACTGGCCCTCGTACGGAACCACCATCGCCCTGAAACACACACACTTTATCAGAGCTCTGCCTGAAGCATCGTCCTCCATTACCTGAAGTAGCACTTTAATGATATAAATGAGTTAATGATTCCTAAGACGTCGTTATCAAAGATGGAACCAAGACTTGAAATTTTAGTTTCACTATAAACTTTACATAACTAAAAAGAAAACACATATATAGAACTTAGACTACTAGAATACAAATATTTGATGCTTCATCATCGCATAAAATACGTTTTTCATGTCTGCAAACATTAGTCTTGATATCCTCTGTGAACAACTACTTAAAGTCTGTGTGTGTGTGTGTGTGTGTGTGTGTGTGTGTGTGTGTGTGTGTGTGTTTGCTTTGCAGGTGATCCACAGTCAAACAACCGTCTGTGTTTCTGTTTGTCATCCTGTCACATGGACGGTGGGAGAGTTACTGTGTGTTTGGTGTCATAGTCATCGATTATTCTTTGTGTGTATTTATATTGTAATCACCATGGCAACAGGTAAATAAAGAGAAGAGCTTCCAATTGAATCCAGAAAGATTCATGTGTGACATTAATACAAATTAAAAATAATAATCAGACTCATCGGCAGGAAACCGAGAGAAACTCAGGGTACGTAACCACGGTAACTGACCCAGAGTTTCTCTCTAAGCATTAAACTTTCTAAAACAGGAACCAGCAAAGACCAAACAGCAGCTTCCTGTCGACCAAGTAAAGTGATGATAGATAGATACAGTAAGAACAGACGAAATAGGAAGTGGTGGAGACGTGAGACGTCTGCTGAGGACTGAAGTTATATTCTAAAGAAACTGTTGACTCAAGGAAACAAAAACACGTTCCTGTCGCCTGGAGTCTGATCTGAACCTGGAGTCAGATCTGAACCTGGAGTCTGATCTGAACCTGGAGTCAGATCTGAACCTGGAGTCTGATCTGAACCTGGAGGCAGATCTGAACCTGGAGTCTGATCTGAACCTGGAGTCTGATCTGAAGCTGGAGTCAGATCTGAACCTGGAGTCTGATCTGAACCTGGAGTCAGAGGGAAAAGTTACCGAGATCAGTGAATGTTAAGAAAATTAGACTGACCAACATTAACAATCAACTATAACCTGAAGCTGCTCAGTGTCCAAACACCGTCCAGACCCTGGATGCTGTTACCATGGAGACAGCTAATGGGACTCCTCCGTAATTACATCAGTGTCACTCAAAGTTGGTAAACAGAGAGGACACTGAACAGACAGACCAACAGGACAGAGACGTCTGTAGCTCCACAGAACAAATCATCTGCTCTGGTACAAGAACGTATATAACATTTATTTTCTTTGGTGAAAAACTTAAAAAGGTTTCACAACGAATCTGCTTTAAAGGAGACGTGTGATGTTTTTCACAGATTATTTCCTCCACAGACAGTGAGAGGATCTACAGACAGTGAGAGGATCTACAGACAGTGAGAGCATCTACAGACAGTGTGAGGATCTACAGACAGTATGAGGTGAGGATCTACAGACAGTATGAGGTGAGGATCTACAGACAGTGAGAGGATCTACAGACAGTGTGAGGATCTACAGACAGTGTGAGGATCTACAGACAGTGAGAGCATCTACAGACAGAGATTTGCTGTGGAACAACAACGACAGATGATCACCATGTGTTCATGGGTGTGGTTTCATCTTGAACATGTGACAACACAAACACTGAACATCATGACGTCACCAGCAGCGGAGGATGACGTGTGAACACGAGAGATGAAAGAAAACCAAAGTGAAGTGACTTTGTTCTGAACATCAAAGACGGTTTAATCTTTGAGCTCCGGTCATTCCTCAGCTGTGTGAAGTCACGCAGAGTCTACACGTCACAGGAAATGATCAATGTGCCTTCAAAATAAATGAATACAAATGCATTGGCTTCGATGGAGAAGATCAGTACTGGAACAGGAAGTAGTTGATAAACAGTTTCTATCTTATGTGAGAACATTTGTTTTATAGTCGCTGACTGAGGAAGTAACTGAGATTTAGAGGTTTGGAGGAAGCTACTGGTAAAACCTGGATTCTGTTATATAAACTACTAACAAGACAAAACATGCAGCCAGACAGAAAAGCAAATACACAAACACTTATTACATCACACATGAATAAATGGCTGATTTAGTTTATTCATTTTCACCCCCCACCCCCACCTCATAAACATTGTGTATTTTATTTTGGAGGCCATTTACCGGATGTGTGTTTGTTCTCGTTTATCTAACTTGAGAATAAAAAAACTTATTTTTATAGTTTCTCCAGATTTGTCACGTGATCTGATTCCAGCTGTTTAAAGTGGAACTGATTCTTCGAACGCAAAAAAAATAAGTTTAAATAAAGTTTATTCAGTTAAAGTTCAACTGAGAATTGAATTAAACTGAATAAAGTGAAAACTGTTTCCTGCTGAAAACTGTGAAGTCAAAGATTTAAAGATATTTATTTACCTGAGAGAGTTTGGTTTGACGGAAGCTCCTCAATCACACAATCACACAATCACACACACACACACACACACACACACACACACACACACACACACACAATCACACACACACACACACACACACACACACACACACACACACACACACAATCACACAAACACACACACACACACAAACACGCTGCTGCTCCCGGGTGATGATGCTTGGTGTTTCCGGGTGTCCTCCCGGTGTTGTCCCGGTGTTTCTCTGTCTGTGTGTGTCCCTCGGTGATGTTCGTTGTGTCCTCATGAACTACACTCACTTCACGGACACACACAAAGATCACAACCGCGGGAGGGGCTCCGGCTCCGGGATTGAAAAACTCCCACACTCCCCTGAAGGCAGCGCCGGATTGAACGATGCCTTCAGGTGCAGCACGGACAAAGCATAATTAAAGTTAAGTGACAGAACAAACCTGGTTAATTTGAACTTGTTGTTAGAAATGTAGAAACTAAACATAATGATTCAGCTTTTAATCAAGAAATAAATAAAACGTTTACATGAACAAACGGGAGGAAACAGATTCAGAGGGAAAGCATTGTACAGCACTGACCCCTGCTGGATGCTGCAGTAACTACAGGAACAACTGAATCTGGCTCCAGAGAGATTTGATACCAAACCCAGGGAAACTTTTGTCTCTAGAAACTTCTGCTGAAATGATGTGAGCGAGTTAACACGACCTCACTGAGCTTCTCTCTCCCTGTGTCCGTTCTCTCATCTCATGGGTTTGAATGTTTGGAGCCTCATGTTGAATGAAACCACAGAAAGTCCAGCGTTGACTTTATCAATCAATCTGATTTATTTGTTTAGCCCACATTCACAAATCACAATTTGTCTCATAGGGCTTTAACAAGCCGAGACATCCTCTGTTCTTAACTCTCAACAAGAGGAAGGAAAAACTACCAAAAGAGAACATGGGAAGAGTTCCCAGTTAAATTGAGCAGCTCGACTCTGCAGGGCCTAAAATATTCAAACAATCACTGGAGACGTTCAAGGAGCATTGTGAAAAAACTAAAGCTCCTTTGTGGAGGCAACAAACTAAAACATCATGAGTCATCAACTCCCAGTTGAATGAGACTCAAACATTTCTATTCCTGACAGCTGCTGCACTTTAAAGCTGATGTTTTCACTTTATTTACCAGTGAAGTGAAGACAATTAGTTAAATTTAATGAGGTAAACATAAACATTTAATTTTGAATTTACCTTCCTGTCAGAGTCTTGTCCACCATCCTCTTGACAACCTGGCAAACACCGAACTGCTGCAGCACCACAGCTTAAGTAGAGGAGATTGATTGGACTGTACCATCCTGCTGTCGACTGACGGGGGAGTTCTCAGGAGCCACCTTCATCTGTGCCACAGTGGTTTAAAGAGGACTGTGATTTCTCCCCTGCAACAATCTATGGACTGGCCGAACTATATAAACCTGCAGAGAGGAGCTCAGCTGGTGTCGTTAGGTCTGAGGAGAGTCGGTCTGTTGATGAAAACCTCTTTGTTCAATGATTCTGCAGAAACAGTCACTGGGATGCAAATCACACTCATGTTTGTTGCAGTCCCTGTGAGTCACCACTAGAGGGCAGTGCCTCAGATGACTAATGTTGCTTTAACAGAGAAGCTCCGAGTCATTTTCACTGAAAGAGACAAATGTGTCCGACCTCAGTTCATTAGGTTCCACTTTATTCAGCCTGAAACGACTTTACGAGTGTTTCACAGGAAGCAGGCGACTGTGTCTGAGAGGTGATTAATCTTTAACATCATCACAGGAGACGACATCCACTGTGTCATGTGAGAAACTGCACTTTACACTTTGCCAGAGGCGACAAACACTGACACGATCGTCTGCGTTCACACAAGAGAAGAACGACACAACCGCGTTTCAGAGAAATCATATCGACCGTCACGTCAGGTAAATATCACAGAGACGATCTGCAGCATCATTTACATCTCACGACCTGATTCACTCATCACTTCTGGAACCTGTGTCACTGATTATAGGATTAAAACATGAACTGTTGACTTTAAGTTAAGTTAAGTTTAAGGCTCAAAACAGTTTGAATTATAAAGCAGGTTTCATACACAGACGTAGATTCAAGGACATTAAACTCAGACAAAAGTCAAAGAAATCAATTTAAAATCTGAGTTTACAGCAACTTTCAATCTAAATAAAAGATTAAAAAGAACAAAAAGAAGTAAAGAGATAAAAAAAGACATCTGGATAGAAATTTTAAAAACTAATTAAATGTGTAAAATAATAAAATACAAAGGTGTTACGTCCTGAGAGTTTTACAGTTTTAGTTTAAGGTGCTTGTGATTGAAAGTTTTCCATTTGGATTTGAAAGCTGTAATTGAGGAGCATTCCAAAAACCAACCAATGAAAATCATCCTGTAAAGTATTTTTTACAAACATAAAATTAAATCAATCATCAGAATCAGTGTGATGTGTTTAATTAAACAGGTTCTCTCATTGTCTAATAAAAACCTGACTCGTCCTTTCCTCTGCAGATTTAAGATGTTAACCCGCTGGTTCACTGTCGCAGCTCTTCTGGTCGCCTCAGCGAGTCCGGCAGCTACAGACCGAGGGCCCCTGACCGTCGCTGCGACCTGCAGGGTCAGAGGTCATCCAGAGGTGGAGCTGACTTTAAACTGTGGACACGGAGAAAACACAGGTCAGTTATGATTGACAGCTGACACTGACTCTTGATTGGTTGAGTGTGTGTAATGGCGGGGCCTTGATACCATGCCCCCCCCCAGTGGGAGAAAGTGTAGATGTTCATCTTTATTTACCGTCTGTGGAGCGACACCTGCAGCTCTCTAACATCTCACCTGTCGTCGCCTCCTCTCGTGTGCAGGCGTGGTCCAGTACTGGCACACCCCCTTTGGAGAGCTGCGGGCCCCTGGACTTCACAGTGAACTGGCCCCTGTCTTCATGCACCATGACGGCAGCCTGGTGGTCCCCAGGAGCAGCAGCCTCCACGGCGGCCTGTACTACTGCCTCCTGCAGCACACAGAGGGAACCACACTGTGGCCATACGAGCTCCACGTTGGTTCCTACCATCAGGAGAACCAAGAGCAGGAGAACCAAGAACAGGAGAACCAAGAACAAGACAGCAGCTGCAGGACGCTCAGGATCAGGAGAAACGCGGCGTCAGTGGAAGAAGAAAAGCCAGCGGGAGTTTCAGACGGAGAGTTTGCAGGAGCTGTGGCAGCGTCAGTGCTGCTGACGTTCGTGTTGGGATTCAGCGCTGGAGCTCTGACCAGAGCTCGAGTTCTCAGGTACGTTCAGGACCCTGAGCAGCAGCTGTGGTTCACACACTCAGACGTTCTCCGTTCAGTTATTCTGGAGATGTAAAGACGGAATAATTGCTGATGATAAATATAATCTCCTTCCTCTCAGGTGTCTGGGGGCGATCACTGAAAAGGTACGATCACTACGCCAACCTGACATGCCAGACCGTGACTCTGAGGTCTCCATGACAACACTGCCATCTGTGTACGACAACGAGGCCTTTGGGATTGGACAGGTGTGGGACGGCGTAACCGTGGAGGCGGCAACAGCCTCATCACCTCCTGTCAAACCTCAGAGAAGCTTCAGACTCAAACGAGAGGAGCAGCAAGAAACCGCTGTCTATCTGGAGGGATGTGACAACACGAGGGAGGAGAAGAGAGGGATAGAGGGGGAGGGAGAGGAAGGAAGAAGCCTGGAAGAGAAGGAAGAAGGGAAGGAAGAAGAGGAGGAGGAAAGAGAGGTCACGGGTTTTTATCTGTTAGGAGACAATGGAGGAAGTCAAAGTGAAAGAGATGAAGACAAGTACAGTGATGATGGAGCGGAGAATGGGAGGAGGGAGGATGAGAATAGGAGAAGGGAGGATGAAGAGAGGAGAGGAAGTGAGCAGGAGACGGAAGGAAGCAGGGAAGAAGAGAGAGATGAGACAGAGGGAGACGATGGAGAAATGGACAAAGACACTCCTCAACAATCAGAGACAGAAGAAGAGATGGACAGGAAAACATCAGCGGACACTCAAGGCATCATGGGAGGAGGAGAGGCGTCGTCCTCCCCGCCCCGTTCCGCCCGTCGCAGCCGCGTCATCCGTCTGTACCAGTACGACGAGGACGGCCAGCGATACTGCCACCTGCCTGACCCCGCCCCCGATGAGCCGGTCCCCGCCCCGAGGCTGAAGCAGCGCTCCCTCTCTCTGACACGCCTCAACGCAATCATGGCCGCCGCCTCAGCAGGGCCACTGGACGGGACGGAGACAAGGGGGGAGGCCGGAGACAAGACGCACTTCCACATGGAAATATGACACAGACACAAAACTGTAAATAAACTAAACGTGGACTTTAATGTTGAGTAGTTTGTTGTTTCTACAAATTATTTTTATCTTTTGTGAAAAGTTGTGCCAGTGGTGGGTTCATGTCACTGTGACCTTTGACCTCCAGATTCTAATCAGCTGAAAGTTGAACAGTTCGAGAAGAACGACCTCAAACAACTCGATGTGATGTTTACTCTGGTCACATCCACTAACATGAGGAGGCAGCGTTTATAACCTGTACTCTAACCAGCCACCAGGGGGCGGTCGAGACACTCAAGGCTTCACTTGGAGCCGTCATGTCGTCCATCTTTATTCTAGAGACCAAACTCTGCGTCACAGACGAGAGACGTCTCCGTCAGCTGCTGTTGATTCATTTACAAAGTGTTTGGTTAGTTGGTCGTAATTATCAAGAAGCAGCTCGTCACATCTCAATTTCCTCTTTTATTACTGTGAAAACATCTATAAACAATACACAAAATGGGGAAAAAATAATTATCAAGAAAACAAATTCCACATCTCTTCTCTCAGTTCTTTTTTTTGGTTCTGTGTTTTCTTCGTTCAGTTTCTCGTTTCCAAATTAACCGTATTTAAAAAGTCTACTCTGTGAGAGAAAGGCCTCTTGACAACAGTTGGCTGACGATGAACAGAGACGATCTCTGATGGGACGTGACTGTACCCAGAGTCCACAGCGTTGATTCTCCAGTCCGTGTGTGTGTGTGTGTGTGTGT